TTTTTTTTTTTAAGATTTATTTGAGAGAGAGAGAGCGCGCACCAAGTTGGGGGGAGGAGCAGAGGAAGAGGAGATAAGGAAGCTGTGCATTGAGCGCAGAGCCCGACTCAGGGCTTGATCCCAGGACCCTGAGATCACCACCTGAGCTGAAACCAAGAGCCAGACGCTCAACCAGCTGCACCACTAGCCAGCCCTACATGAACTCTGTACTATGCACTCTTACTGCTCACGTCACACCTGTCGTGAAAAGTAAAAATATAGTCTCTTAGGAAGCCCCAAAGACTCCCAATTAGCTTTTTTTTTTTTTTAATCTGCATTTGTGTACCGGGGCTCAAGTTAGGGGTTGGCTGGTGATGGTCTAAAATTGTTCAAGGCCACTGGGTTCCTTCCTTAGTTGGGTGACGTGACCCGGAAACAAAAGCAGGCCACACGTGGGTGGGGACTGGAGTAGCTCGGTGGCGGGAGACACGGCCCTGTCCTGGGAGTACTCGGCCACCGGGTTTGTGACGTAACAGCCCATGACAACCATGCGGACTGAATCGAGTGGTCCAGGCAGCTATTAAAACCTGTAATTGCAGGGACATGAACCCCAGCTGCCACAGCCCAGGTGGAAGGAGTAGACGCTGACCGCTTGATGGGTGGCCTCTAACAGGTGGGGCCTCCGATTGTGTGCGCGCGTGCCCGCGTTTTGAGCCTTTGTGTCTCCTGTGTATAGCGTATGGAATCCTGGAAATGTCCCCACGACTTCAGATTAGATCGTTTCGCAGTGAAACGACTGTGTGTGCTGAGTTTGGGAACAGCGCCTTGGCTTTAAGAGCAGAATTCGTGCGCGTCGGGGCCGGGAGCGCGGCTCTGCGGCTGGGCTGGCTTCGGAGGCGGGCTCGTTGGAAGGCGCCCGGAAGGGACTTCGGTGCGGCGGATGCTCTGATTTTACACTCTGGGTAGCTGGTGGATGGTCACGGGTAGCAGTGGGGTGACCTGCCCCCAGGAAGCCGCTGGGGCTTCAGGAAGCTGCGGCATGCTTTGGCAAGGCTGGGTGTGCGTACTGGATGAGCACACTCGTGTGCGCTGTGGCGGTCAGAACGCAGAGGGTGACCCGCTGCCCGTGTCTACTCACTGTCCGTCCCTGTGCTGTCGGGCCTGACGCCGGGCACGGGGCGGCAGCAGTGAGGCAGGAACCTGGAGGGTAGTGGCCTTTCACTGTCGGGCTTGAGGGGGGCCCGCAGGCGGCGTGGCTGTGGATGCCAGCTGGGCCTGCAGAAGCACGGGCGGCAGGGGCCTCGGGGACGGCGAAGTGCGATCTGCCCGCCCGTGTGTTTCCAGAACGGAGCGGCCGGTTCCAGGTGCTGGGGTTTCAACTGGCGTTTTCTTACTGGGCCTCACGACGTTCAGGATGCCTCCGATCTGCTGGGCAGAGAGGGCACTGTGTACTAAGGTAGACTTGGGCTTTGGGCAGGAACATTCTGTGATCCCAACGCTGACACCCACGTTTTGGTTTGAAAGTTCTGGAGGGACTTCGTGGCCAGAAGGGCATCCCTGGCCTCGCTCTGGTAGTCAGTGGGGTAGTCGGTGGGGACACGCACTGACTCGGAAGCGCCTCGTCCTCACACCTGGAGAACACAAGGGAAGTCGGAGCTGCCCTGGGAGCGAGTCCTCTCCCTGGTCCTGCGCACACGGGGCCAGTCGGCCCGTGGCCAGTGACTTCCATTGCGGCTGTGACTTATCCAGCCAGCGTGAGACCCTGCCTGGGAGTGAGAACTGAAACAAGTTCCATCTCCCCTCCCTGAATTCAAACCAAATGGAGGCCTTGAAGGGGAAAGCCCTCCTTTTCCCCTTGCATCAACTTCCGGTGGATTCTTCCGGAAGCACCTCGTTAACTCCTCCTGGGGAGGCGGCCCTGACTACTGGCTCCCTACTGGCCCACCGTAGCTGCTCTGGCAATGTCCCGTGTTTAGGAGGCTGCTTGTCCGACCCCCAGGGAACGACTTCTCCCCAGTGCACACCGTTTAATTAGGGCCTGTGCTTTAATTAGGAGGCTCCCCTGAGCCCAGCTTCAGTACAGTTACTTTTTCAGAATAAAGAGTTCCCTCTGCCCAAGTCCCAGCCAGTGCCTTTTGCTGAAGTCCTTCCCACCTGGGAACGGAGGCCCCTCCCCCCTGCGCTTGGGGGCGCATTACCAGTGACTTTCCGATGCAACCACGGGGAGACTATTCGGGGAGAGTATTTGAGCAGTTGTTTTTCTAACAGAGTGAAACCCTCTGCCTCTTAGATTTGCTTACTTGTTGGCTAAAGGTAGCTTTTATCGTGTTGAATCCTGCCTGGGAGTAATAACTGGAAGGAGGGCTCTGATCACCTGTCCTTTTCCCTTGAGGCATACCCCCGCCAGTGCAGTTTTCACCACACCTGACGTGTCATTTTCATCTTTGAACGAGGGCTAGGGCCTAGAGGTTCTGGGGTGACCTTGTTTTAAAAGCCTTCACTTGTCCTTAATGTGCACAGTCCCTGACGAGGAAGCTCTGAGCCCCGGCTCCCCTGTTGCTCTCCTCGGAGCGGCTGCTGAGTGTGCGTGCCCGGGATGTGGGGAGCTGATGGCCCTGTGTCCTTGAGCACTTAGGGCTGTGCTTACTCGTTGGGCAATCAGACCTCAGGTGGTGGGCTGCGATCACCTTTGTATGGCTCAGTACACTTGCCCGGAGCCCCAGTCAGAGGGGCGTGGGCTTGGGCGCGGGGAGCAGTGAGCACCAGAGCGAGACGGGTGCCCCTGGACCTCCTGTCCTTTGTGATGGTTTGACCAGCCCAGGGCCCAGGGGCTGCTGAAGGGAAGGGGCTGCTTTTCACCGAGGCACGTGGAGGGTGCTCTGCACTGCCTGGTAAGAGGGTTAAGTGACTTGATCCAGCTTCAGGAGCTGTGTCTCGCAGTGTCCCCCTCGGAGACTGGTATAAAGAAGGCTTTTTACTGGATGAACTGAGAACATAAAACTAGGAGAAACTGTATACGCTGGCCGGCGGTATGGAATTTCAGAAAGATCTGGACAGGCTGAAACAAGCCAAATGGAAATGACAAGGCGTGTACAGGTCTATATTTAGGTTTGCCCATCAGGGGTGTGGAAAGATTCTGCTTTGGATACGAAGTTTGCACCGGAGAGACGTCAGTAGGATCCCGAAACCGCCTAAAATGCCCCCGGGGCCCATGGTTCACAGCTGAGCCGTCCCTGAGCCTCCAGATTTGTCTTCCACCGGTGAGGGTCAGGTCACCCATCCCTAGTCCCGGGGGGGGGGGGGGGGGGGGGGAGCGCCGCCACCTTTAGGGGGGGGGCGGGGTGGGAGGTGTTTTTTTTGTGGGTGGGGGGAGCTTCACTGGCAATAAATACAGAGTCCTGGAGGCACAGGGTCAGAATGGGTGGGAACCTCTAGGGGCCCTTCATGTCACCCCCTTCACACTGAATTTCACTGTCACGGTTCTCGAGGCCTTGTCTTTTCCTAATTAAGTCAGAGGGCTTCTTTTTCTAAGCTGTGTGCTGGTGTTCTCGGGGCTCTCGGCCTCGGGTGCTTTGTGTACCTCGTCCTCCCGTGACGGCCGGAGGAGTTTTGTTCTTGGTCATCCGAGGTGAAGATGGCCCTGTCGGTCTTCTGTTCTGCAGCACAGGGATGACGACTTTTGAACCTTGCCGAGGGCAGAGCGTTTGGCACTATCGGCCTTGGGTCTGTTGGTTTCCATCGAAGAGTCCTCCCCCTCGCGTTGCTCTGGTTAACCAAGGGCCCGCTTCATCCAGCCGACCTCAGGCCTCTGTGTGGGTGTGATTCCGCGCCGAAACGGTCTTTCTTCCTTGGGGCTGCTGTGCACACTCAGCTCTGTCCGTGCGCGGCCTTGGGCTAACCGCCGGGCCCGGTACACAGTGCAGGTGGTCATGTCCTTAGGGATCTGGGTACTCCTCCCCCCGTGTCTCTCTACATTTCACCATTTTCTCTGAGGGGGGAAAAAAAAATTCTTTAGTGACTACCTGGTATATCGGGTTCCAGGGAAGATCAAAACATAAGCGAGACGTGGTGCCCTCACGAGCGCGGGCTCTCTGATGGGCCACGGACTTGTCCCCAGCGTCTCGGCGCAGAGGCGGGGTGTGCGCTTCTCGGCCTGTCTCACCGTCTCCTCTTTCTCCCCCCCCGCCCCAAGGGTGAGCTTGTCGGCCACAGACTGCTACATCGTGCACGAGATCTACAATGGGGAGAACGCCCAAGACCAGTTCGAGTACGAGCTGGAGCAGGCCCTGGAAGCCCAGTACAAGTACATCGTGATCGAGCCCACACGCATCGGCGACGAGACGGCCCGCTGGATCACCGTGGGCAACTGCCTGCACAAGACCGCCGTGCTGGCGGGCACCGCGTGCCTCTTCACCCCGCTGGCCCTGCCCTTAGATTACTCCCACTACATCTCCCTGCCTGCTGGCGTGCTCAGCCTGGCCTGCTGCACCCTGTACGGGATCTCCTGGCAGTTTGACCCCTGCTGCAAGTACCAAGTGGAGTACGACGCCTATAAACTGTCCCGCCTGCCCCTGCACACACTCACTTCCTCCACCCCCGTGGTGCTGGTCCGGAAGGACGACTTGCACAGAAAGAGACTGCACAACACAATAGCCCTGGCCGCCCTGGTGTACTGTGTAAAGAAGATTTACGAACTCTATGCCGTATGATCTCAGTAGGACGGGGAGAGAAGCAAATGACCCAGCCCACGAGAGACTCCCCCCCCCACCCCGAGTATGCAGATGGCCCCAGTAACAGTTTTTGCTCCATGGGGCGGCAGAGCCTGGGAAGGGGTTTCGTTTAATATTTGTTATTTTAAAAAAAAAAAATAACACAGATCACAGGTGTACCAAGGGTTTTTCAACTCATTACACTAAGATGTGGATTTCCAGAACCCACAGGGGGTCTGCGCTGTGGGAGTCTGAGCGGGCGGTGGAGTGTGGACAGCAGCAACGCTACTGAGGGGGTATGAATGCGCTTGTGGGGCGGGGGGGAGGTCTTTACGTCTGTTGTTTAACTGTACCATCCAGAGCCAACCAGAAGCTATTGGCCATTAAAATTATGAGAATTTCAACTTCAGGTGTCCGCTGTGTCCATGACCACCTGCAGCTGCTGCCGGCGGGCGCTTGCTCGTGGGAGCTGTGGGCACCACGCGAGCCCGCCAGCCCTGCTCCTTGCTGTGGCCTGGTGCCACCGTCCGCGGCAAGAACAGGCCTTTGTGCGTGAGGCCGGCCCGGACCCCGCCCAGAGCGGTCTCACCGCATGCCGGCCTCGTTTTCAAGGCGGGCACCGCTAAATGCCATTCGGGGACGTGGCAGGACCCGGTGACGAGGCCTAGAGGTCACCGGGTTTGCGTGCGGGGCCACGTGGAGAACTGAGGCCTGGGACCTCCTGTCCAGAGATTCTGATTTGGAAGGCCCCACGGGTGAACGCCTGTATGTTTTCAAAGCATCGAAGCTGTTCCTGATGTGGACCCCGAGTTGGAGCCCAGTGCCCCTCCCAGCAGTCCCATTCCACAGGAGCCGGTCCCGCGCCCCTCCCTCACAGCAGAGGGCGTGTCGCACCCCTTCCTCCATATCCCTCGAAGGTGTTGGGTAATTCAAAAATCTTCCCTTCCGTAAGGATGTCAGGTCCCCCGCCTTACCTGCAACCTTCCTGAGACCTGCTCTCAGTCCCCCCTGAAGAGCTACATGGCACTTCCTTCTGAAGGGTCCATCTTTAAGAAGCAGTCTAGTTTTAAAGGCCACACCGGGAAGATCTGATACCAGAGAATAATGAAGGGGTACGTGGGAAGGCGTCAAGGAGCTCAAGTGGGCGATTGGTCCGTTTATTGTAAGGGGAGATCCAGCGCTTTTGAAAGACTTCACCATGGACCGTGGTCCACAGAGTTTGAACAACTTCAATTCCAAGAGGCCTAGAAATACTAATCACTCAGGTGAAAGCTGGGTGGCAAGATGGTGCTGGGGGCACACTGTAGCTTACATGGCAGTCTGGCCATCGGCAACAATGCTCGATCGGTAGTGGTCCCAGACACAGGGTCTCAACGTGCAGAGCCCGCAACCCCTTGGGTGTCTGACTGCTGGCTCCCAGGCCGGCCGGGCACGAATGGCAGGTGTCTTGTAATAAATGGCGCAGATTTGGAAAGGGAGCCCCATGCTCTGCCTGCAAACCAGATTTCATGGGGGAGGTGGCTGGGAGCCGACAAGCAGTAGCCGTCTCGGTCGGGTCAGCTAAGCAGAAGTCCTCACCGGGAATAGAAGCCAAGTGCAAACAGGCTGGCTCCAGCTGCGCTGAACAAAGTGATTCTTGTCGGGTGGACTAGCCGAGATTCTGAAATACCACCGCAGTTCCATGTCCCCTGCCAAGGTGGAGGACTCAGGCCTGCCGCGGACCGCAGAGCGGGACTTTGGTGCTCTAGGCCTCCCTACGTGAGCAGCGGCCCAGCTTGGCTGGGAAGGAGGAGCGGCAGGCCCACACCTCCGGCGCCTGGAAGGCTTCTCTGTTTCTCCCGCCTTTCTAATTACCCGTCACAGACGAGCGGGTTACACTCCTCGGTGACGTGCCGCAGGGCCCTTGACATGGGAAACACAGGCCGAGTCAGCTGGCCCTTGCCTGCGAGGTCCACACACCAGGCCTGTGTGCGCCCACGTCCGTCAATGCATCGCGCCAGTAACCCAATTACAGGAGTCTTGCTTGAAGTGCCCACTCTCACCCCAGTTTCAGAGAAGAGCAAAGAGCCTTTAGAAAGGTCAGCTCATCGAGAAATGCGGAGGAGCAGACCCCGGCCAACACTTACTTACTGGCTCTCTCCTTAGCCTGTCCGCTCCCTCCCAAGCGTTCACATCTGGTTCAGCAGCTGCGGTGCCCCATGAAGAAGGGAAGGGAAGCGGCGTCCCTGGGAGCCTGCAGGTGGCAGGCAGCGCGCGCGGGCTGTTCCGTCTGACCACCCGGGAGCCGCGCACAGATGTGCAGCGCTGCTGGATGGAAACTCATGTGCTTGTGCTTTCCACACCGACGTGGGCGCGCAGCCCAAGTGCGCGTGCTTCTGCCCTCGGCCCGGGAAACTCCAGGAGGCCCACAGAGCAGAGCGGACAGTGCCTTTGAACTTGATGTGCAGGCAGAACCAATGCAGAGCTTTCCCAACCTACCCACAATCCACGGGGGGGGGGGGGGGGGGGGGAGAGGAGGGGACAAACCCTTGAGGACAGAAAAGAGAACCGGCAACAGGAGCACCACCCCGCCCCTGGTGGCAGATGTTCATATTCAAACACCGGCTTGAAAGCAAGAGTGGGGTCCTGGCGGGGGGCACAGTGTGTGTGTGGGGGGGGGGGCTCGCCCTCCCAGGCCGGGGAGCCCCGCCTTCACGCCAGCGCGCCCTCCAGGGGGACGTTCCAGAACACTGACGTCGCTGGCCCTCCTTAGTCCTCTCCGTTTCCGAGGCCAAAAGGAGCATCTGTGCGGCGGGAGCTCATCTCTACTACCTCTCTGATACTGCCCACCTCCTCAGGAGCAGCTGGCTGGGCCTCGGACAGCGTCTGCCAGCCGGCCGCAGGTAGCTAGATTTTAATGATTGGTTGTGTTCCATTTGCTGTTGATACGGCAGAATATAAAGTTTCTAAAGTAAGTTTAAGAAAGTGAGTGTGAGTCTTTTAAAAATAGGAGGTAAATGAACGTCCAGTGGTTTGGAATCGGGCCCAGGGGTCGTGTGTAGGTTAAGAGACCCTTTGTGTCTGCTCCAAGCTCCGCGTACGGACCCGCGCCTGAGTCGGGGCTCGGCGGGCCCCCAGCCGCTGCCCCAGTGAGCCCCACAGCAACACCCTCCGCAGCGGAGTGGGTGCCGTGTTTTGATGACCGACCCGTGTGCCTGCTGAGCATGTGTTCTTTAGAGGACAGCAGGTCACATCGTGTCCAGTTGCTGCCCGTTCTGTTTAACGGAGAGAAAAGGACAGCACCTGGATCCGGGCCCCGCTGAAAGTGCCAGTCAACTGAGTGCCCGAGGAGAGCTGTTCTGTCGTTCCCGTTTGGACGCACAGCTTCCTCTGTCACTGCCTTTCCCGAGGACGTGCTGGGCACTGGGCAATTTTATTCCATCTCAGAGTAGGCTTTAGAGTGGCCGCCACGGCTGTCGTGGGCCCACCTCTTCCCTGGCTCTGACGGCCCTGACGTGAACAGGAAGATCGTTCTCTCCCCCGTTAGGGTGGAGCAGGTGCTTTCTGCGGAAAACAGGGAGCCGCCCCGTATGTCCGGACCCACGCTTCCACCACGGGCCCCTGCAACGTCCAGGCCGCGCTGGGCGCTGGGGAAGGTCACCAGAGCTAATGCCCCACGCCTCGTCCTGCTCCCGGGAAACTCGACAGCCTCAAACACTCACCACAGGTTGGCTTTGGCCATTTTTATTGCAGGGACAGCTGTTTAAGATACAAGCTCTGCAGGGCCAGGATACGGCGTAGGGTGCCACGACGACGCGCTGGGGCATTTTTACTCCACGTCGGGGAAGCCATACAAAACACCCACAATTTCCACTTTCAGCCTCGATAAGAGGAAAAGTTTCATCCTAAACTTCAGGTATGATGTTGATTTACTCACTGAACTTCAACCATGTATTTTTCATAAATCAGAAACGTGGCGGCGGGCATCCCTTCTGGCCCCACTCGAACAGGCAGAGCTAACAAATGACTTCTGTCACCGGGGGCCCAGCTGCGGCCTCAAGAACCGCCCCCCCCCCCCCCCCCCCAGCGCACCGGGCTTCGGAGTCTCACTTCCTAGAGATCTGCGGGACCATCCGGGTGCTTTGCCTCTCCCTTTTGGCTGCCATGTCCTTGTACACTCATCTTCTGCCTGGAGTGGGGCCTGGTCTACACGGCTTCAGGCGAGAGTGCACAGGGAAACCAGGGAATTCCTTTGAGGTACTAAAGCCAGCATCACTTGGGTTATGTGGAAAGACGGAACATGCAGGAGCCCATTTGTTGTGTTGGATGACGGACTGTAGGACCCTGACCGTGGCTACGGATGAGAGCTTCTTCAAAGGACAGCCTGCTCCCTCGAGTGCTGTAGGTGACTCTGCCAAAACCATTCGTGTGTGATCCAGATCAGTCAAATATGAGAAGTGGGTCATGTGACGTCAGGATGTCTTCCATCTTCAAGACTGAAACACTTTCTAGGCGCTGGCTGAGGCTGGATTTCAAAGGAGGCATGGTGCTGGCAGCCCTCGAGGACTACAACTCTTAGCCGTTCTGCTCATTTATTTCAGAGTCTTAGTTTAAACCCAGCTCCACATTTGTTCCTTAAGGTTTACCCCTCACCCCTACGAAGCTGGCTGCCCCCTTTGGTTCTCATTCTGTTAGCAGGGGCCCGGTCGGGGGTCTCCAGAAGTGTGTGTTCCATCTCTCCCACCCATAAGACAAATATCCAGTAAGGTCTCAACAAACGCAGCCGTCCCTTGTGGAGGAGCTGCACCCAGCCAGGTGCTGCTCCCTAGCCCAGCTCGGACGCGCCACTAGGAGTTCTTGGACTTCCGCTCCTTTCTGGCCCTGGAGGCCATGAGGCTGAAGAAGAGCCCAGGAGCCAGAGTTCGCAGATAAATGGCCAAGGAAGGCAACAGGTCGGCCAGGATCACCTCCTTCTTTTTCTTCCCCACGGCAGCCAGAACATCTCGGGCCACCTCCACAGGGCTCCGGCCCTGGGCCGTGGTCTTGTCCATAACTAAAATAAACAAAACAAAAGAAAGTCATGAACCAGAAAGCAGAAGTCCCTCTCTCAAGGACTTGAGCAGACATGGACCAGTGTCAGCTGGGTTTGCTGAATTTCCCACCACGAAGCTCTTTCCACCGCCTGTTGGGAGGAACATGGTATGCCACCACCCCTGACTAGTCTGTACCCCCGAGAAATGAGGAAGCCGTCTGCAGGTCGGTGTGTGTGAGCGGGGAAGGGGAATGCGGGTGAGACACGGGAACGAGGCAGACGAGCCCCCTCAGCGCGCAGGAACTGGTAGCCCGTGACAAAGGCCGAAGGCCAGGCCGCACGGGGTCCCACAGAGTGAGCCCTTCACGCACAGTGATTCCAGGCCTTGGGAACTGTCCACTGGAACCAACACCACAGGATGGTGTGGTGCTGAGTTGGTCCTGAGTAGCTGGGCCTGAGGTCTGCCAGACGGGGGACGAGAGAAGACTAGGAGCGCCCACCGCCGTGAGAGTGAAGTAACTCAGGAACAGATGTCACAATTCCCCCGCCAAGTGTTAACTGGACAAGAACCAGTAAGAAAGCCTTGGTTTGTTTGCGGTGTTACAGACAGCTGCAGGGAGTTTAGGAGGTGTTTGGCTGGTTAACACCAACATTCCTTCCTAGTAATCTGACAATTTTGCTCACAAAGTAGAGCTAGCTGGCGGGCGGAGAAGAGAGGCCACCAGCACAGGCCATTTGCCACCACCGGTGAGCTGTCCAAACTGCATGAGCTTCCTCACCGGTATCTGTTCTCACCGTGCTGCTGTAAACACAGAATAGGAAGTTTCTGACCGTTGCTTACTTTTAAATGTCACAGACAGAATTGTTAAAAAAGGATTCTTCTAGGTATAAATAAGTATGAACCTCTCTGACTCAATGCTTCTGTATGGTTCCTGCTGACTTGCTGAGTGAGCAGCTATCCAGGGCCCGCACAGTCGTGGTTCAGGTCTGGCTGGGGGTGGGGGGTGTAGGACCTGCAGGCCCCTGCTGAACACCAGAGCACAGGCCCAAGAGGGCACATTCAGGGAGGCAGGACATGGCAGGTCACTTCTCAGAGAGGTGGGGCCGTGCAAGCGTGGGGAAGCAGAGCCAGCCCCCCCATCGACAGCACGCGTGGCGCAGCGGACCTGGGAGGCTGGGGGCCAGGCCGTTCGGCCCACTAGTGCTGACTGCATGTCAGCTCACCATGTCTTTGGCTGAAGCAAGCTGGAGACCGAGACCGGCACCCGTAGCCTCACCCCAGAAGGCTGCACTCTTTCCTTTGAGCACCCTGAAATCAGTCATTTCTCAAGCACACTGGGTGGGGAGTATTTTGGGTCAAGCAACCCCTACTTTCCATGAAGTTAATCCACTTTCATTTTACTTTAATTTACTTTAATTTGGAAGCTTGGCCTTCCAAGTCCTTCAAAGGACTCACAGTCCTGGCCACCAGGGACCCTGTTCCAACAGCCGCAATGGTGATGCTCAGGCTAAGGATGGCTCGTGGTAAATGACCACTAATCAACAGTACGTATTAACCAATACCCACACATCAAGGTTTTTGGTTTGAAAAATTACATTGCAAATGAAAATAACCAAAGAATCATCAGGGAAGAGAGGCACACCTCACTGTGGCCAACCAACAGCTTTTCATGGAACAAAAGAGAAAGCAGGGCCTCACCTCCGTATGTGGACCCGTCGGCAGTGACGGCACGGAGAGAGAGATTGGTGTGGATGTAGCCAGGGCTGAGGACAGTCACCTGGATCTCATACTGCTCCACCTCGGCACGAAGACAGTCAAAGAATGCCTGGGTTGCATGTTTGGAGGCCGCATCTGCAAAGGTTCACAGCCAGACACACAGGTGAGGGAGAGGGCCTGGGACAGACAGGCCCACAGATTCATTCCCGTTCATTCTCTTTTATTTAAAAACTGATACTACAATTTAAGATTACGGTATTAAGGCAGCGTTCATTTCCTGAGTTAGGGAAGCGTATCGTACCCTTGTTCTCAGGAAATACCCTGAACTGTGTAGGAGTAAAGGCGTGTCATGTCTCCAACCTTCTTTCCAGTGGGTCAGGAAAAAAAACCTAGAAATTTTATATACACACACATGTGCATACATACACACAACACACACACACTAGGATAAAGCAAATACGGTCAAATGTTAACAATTGGGGAATCTGTATGAAGGGGCCATGGGAGTTCTTTGTAATGTTCCTGTGAGTTTTCTTTAAATCAAAATTCTTTTTTTTTTTTAAAGATGTATTTATTTATCTTAGAGAGAGTGTGAGAGTGTGAGGGGGCGGGCAGGGCAGAGGGTGAGGGAGAGAACCTCAAGCAGACTCCCCGCTGAGCACGGAGCCCAACGCAGGGCTTGAGCTCCGCCCCATGAGATCAGAACCTGAGCAGAAATCACAAGTCGGACATTCAACCAACTGAGCCACCCAGGTGCCCTGAAATCTGCAATTATTCTAACGTTAGGAGTTTAAAAAAAAAAAAAAATTAATGCCTACTAGGTAAAACATTCACACAGGACGGAGGATTTGAAGTAAAAAATGAAGGTCTTCCTTCTGTCTTCCAGTTCCGTTCTCCAGAGGTCACCTATGCTTTCGGTTTCTCAGGACTGACTCTTTACATATCCTGTGTTCATATAAAGAATTTTTTGTGAGCTCAAACCGTTTATATTATTCCTGCAAGTAGCTTTCTTCACCCAGTGGCGCAGAGCTAGCAGTCTCTGTGTTGCCCATACAGGCCCGCCATGCTTCCACGGGTCATGGGACCAGAGAAGCGGCCCGAGCCACGGGACCTTGTGGGTGGTTTCCAGGTTTTGTCACTGAAGCAGCGCTACCAGGGGGCATCCCTGCAGGCCTGGGAGTGTGTGTATGAAATCCATGCCTGGCTTTCTTACGTATTTATAGTCTGACAGACCTCCGTGGAGGGGCTCTCCACTGCGAAAAGCTACTGAGCTTGCTCCCCTGGGAGCCACTGAGCCACGGCTGCTCTTCAGCCATGGCTCCAAACATGCTGACAGGTGCTCTGCGAGGGGACACGGTGACCGGACAATGACATTCTTGGAAAACACATGGCATCTCCACTGAAAATCAGTTTCCTCCCATTCAGACTTCTAAATGTTTTAGTCTTAGGGAAGGGGAATCCATCGGCCAAGAAAACAGGAAGGGAAGCAGCAAGGAAGTGTCCCAGCGAGTCACATGAGAAATTCCAGGGTCGGAACTCACTGCAGCAGCTTGAGGCCAGCAGCTTCGCTTGGGGCCAGGTTGCTGGGGGCTGATGGCATAGTTTGTGGGTAGGCAGGTGGAGAGCTTCTCCTATCACTTGTGATCCCAGGGGGGTAGCCCAGGCCCAAGGACTGAGAAGAGTCATCCTGGGGGTCCCCCAGAATGGAAGGCCACACCCGGGGGCGCCTGGGTGGCTCAGTCGTTAAGCGTCTGCCTTCAGCTCAGGTCATGATCCCAGGGTCCTGGGATCGAGCCCCGCATCGGGCTCCCTGCTCCGCGGGAGGTCTGCTTCTCCTTCTCCCACTCCGCCTGCTTGTGTTCCCTCTCTCGCTGTCTCTCTCTCTCTCTCTCTCTCTGTCAAATAAATAAATAAAGTCTTAAAAAAAAAAATAAAGAAGGCCACACCCTGCTGACTGGTCTCACGGAGTCTCAGGCCGTAGGTCCTGGCAACTCACGGCTGGCAACAGGGAGCCCGCCGAGCCGCAGGGCACGGGGCTCGACACGCCACCCAGATCATCTCACTTGGTTCTCATGACAGCAGTGGGAGACCGGGAGAGCGGCTCTCCCATTTCAGAGACGAGAAGACTGCTGCTCACCAGGATCAACCAACGTGCCCAGGCATGCTGCCACATTCGGTCTGCTTGTTAGGGAGTGCCCAGACCAACTGTGTGTGACCTACTACAGGCACAGGCCAAGCGGAGAACAAAATTCAGAGATGAAATCAAAGTAAAGGCTGGAAGCTTGCCTTTACCCTGATTTACCTATTATCAACATTTTAGCTCACTTGCGTTCTCATTTGTGATTCTATTCATTCCTGGACCACTGGAGCTGCCTTCGGTAGGTGTCCTGTGCTGTCGGAGCTGAAAGAGAACGCCGGCAAACAGGGAAGTAACCAGCACAGACACAAATATGGCTGGGGTGCTTCCCAATTCACAAAGGACTTGCCATCTCCAGATGTCTCATTTCATCTTTAACACATCTCTGTGGAGTGTGTATGAGAGCTGTCGGTCTCTTAACAAGCAAGGAAATGGAGGCGGGTAGTCAGAGAAACTAAATTACTTGCCCAAGGACATGCAACTAGAACCACAAGGCAGAGCAGGGGGTCCGCTCTTGAGAGAGAGAGGGTGTCTTTGTGAAAGTTCCAGTTCAGCCGCGCCGTGTCATCCAGCTGGATGTCTGCGACTGTCCTTTCAAAATGCTGACGCAGCTCTGCTCTCCCTTCCCTCGCTGCCAAGTCTGCAGCTGCGTGAGGCAGAGGCCAGCGCTTGGAGGCGGTGAGAGCAGCTGAGGCTGCTACAGGTCAGTCTTGCAGAGGGTGGAGCAAAGAACGGAGCTCCGGGGGCAGTTTGTGCAATCACCTTTAAAATCTGTTAACACCCCCCCGTGTTTGCTTGCTGGTACAACAGGAAGGCAGGCAGACGGGCGAAACGAGATCTCAAACTTCTGGTGCGGTCACACGCACATGGAGGTGACAGTGTGAACTGGAAGTCAATCGGCAGTTCTAGTTTTTGGTCGTACTTACTATTTTCCACTTTTTGGAGACCCTCCCATGAGTGACCAGAGATGGAAGTATTTTAGGATATTCTGGGTAGCACATCATTGCTACTGGTCAAGAACTGAAGGGAAAGTAATCCTCGTGTGTCCAGAAAAATGGCTAAATCACTCACGTCACATCTATTCAATGCATTACTACATACCCACCTAAGAGGATCCAGTGAACTGCGGGTGTTGATATGGAAAGTTGCCTCGTCGAGTGGAATAAGCAAGCCGCGAAACAGTACGTATAATGTGATCCCATGTTTGAATGTTTGATCACGGGAAAGAAGCTGGGAGGCATGTGCTGCAGAGTGATGACGTGGAAGTGCCTGCGTGTCCACGGTGAAAAGCGGTAACGAGCTAGTGGCTGACGCACGTGCGGCACCTAGGCCAGGCCAGCGCTGCACGCATGGCCCTCGCAGACTACCACAGTCGTCTGGCGGCCCTCCGAGGCTGGGACCGGCCCGTCTCCCTTCTGCAGATGAAGACTGGGGGACAGAGCAGGAGGGACCTTTGCACAAGGTCACGTAGAGGGGGTAAGGAGTAGAGCTGGGATTTGAACCCAGCCATTCTGCTCAGGAGAGCGCATTCTCGTCAGGCCCCCTCACACCCTGTGTTGAATGTCTCTCTAGTGTCTGAATTCTGCATACTAAACGTGCTATTTTTATAATCCTGAGAAAACAATAAGGAAGAGCACACAGGGGAGGGATCAGGGAGTACTCACATGCTGATCGGAAGGGAATGCTGATTTTGCCCTGGATGCTGCTGATCACAACAACGTGGCCTTGTCGTCTTTTGATCATGGAGGGCAGGAGTGCTAGAGACAGACAGCGGAGACTTAGAGACGACTTTTCTTGTGGTCACGCAGCTAACGCTGACAGGAGGTGACCTCGCTTATTGTGTGCACTCAGAGCCAGGGAGGGGACAGGGAAAGCGGCTCCGTGGGGAGCACCACGCGGGTTGGAAGTCTCAGGCCTCCTGCACCCAGCAGACCACCAGCAGGAGGGAGGAGGCCAGCAGACAGTGGGAAGGAGGCGAGGAGGGAGGCAGGCAGAAGCCCAGTCCCTCCGAAAGGTCAGCTCGGTCCCCTTCTCTAGGGAGAGCCTCTCCCCTTGAGTGATATCTGTGGCTGGGCACAAAAATGTCCACACTTTGTATGGGCTTCCAAACCCCGTGGAAACGGATGCAATGCTGTGCAGATAAGCTGTCACCGAGGAGAACACCCTGGTTTAAGGCTAGAAGGCAGATACAGAAAATGCAAAGGGAAGCCTGGAGAGAACAAACCCCCAAGCTGTAATGCCCACACCCATTCCAGGGTAAAACAGACGGAGACGGGCAACATCGGGCCCAAAAGCAATCCAGTAAAGTACGAAGGCTGCCGCCATACAGTGGTCTTTTTGCTTTTACTTCAGGACTATTACCTTTTGTTAGAGCAACTGGGCCAAAGTAGTTCGTCTCCATGACTTTCTTATCCACGTCCGTGGCGGTGTCCACGATGGCGCCGCGGTAGCTGATGCCGGCGTTGTTGAGGAGCACGTCCACGTGGCCGAAGCGCTGCAGGATCTCCGCCGCCGCTGCGACAATGGCCCCAGGGTCGGCGAGGTCAAAGGTCACCGTGTAAGGCCGGTGTGTCTGCACCTGGTCAAACAGGACAGAAACCAGATGCACCCTCAGAGTGACAGGCATGTGAGCCACGTGTCCCTGCTCCGAGTGCCGCGAGCAGCCTACTGGGCGTGACGTGACACAGGCTTCTCACACCTCTCTTCCGCAGAAATGTGGCCCGGAGCTTTCCTGCCGCTGGTGCTCACACCCGACCTGGGCAACTTTTCCCCTGAACTGAAAATGAGTAGTAGAGCCAGGCTCCCCTCCCTACCTCGGGCCAGCACCGTGCTGTACGTCGTCATGACGCTGAACAGTGCCCCTCCTGACGGGGGCTATCCTTCTCTGGCTGTGCTTTTTGTTCATTTGTTCATGAAACTTTTTTATAGATATCTCCTATGTGCCAGACACTGGGGCCAGGGCAGAAAGCAAGACAGACATGGTTCCTGTCTTCCAGAAGCATACCATCCAGTGAGGGAGACAAATTCTGTAACTGTAAAGAATATCATGAAGAAGTATAAGATGCTAGAGAAATGAATAACTGAGCCATCTGACTTACAGGGCTTCCCAATGGACACGAGCTTAACAAGAGATTAAAAGGAGCGGTGGAGATGTGAAATCAGAGAAGATGGCATAGTTGGAAGTGCCAGGAATCTGTCTTTCCACCTGGACGTTGTACTGGCAGAAACTCTCTGAAGTGACAATTTTGGAACTCTGGAGTCTATCTGAATGCTTGTAGATTGCAGGGCAGTGCTTGCCTGGCAAATTATACATAATTTTGGTCCATTCTAGCTATCACCTTGGTGGTAGGCTTCCATCCCCCATCCCCATTTCCTGTGGCAGGCAGCTGTAGGAAAACCCATACTTCTGGGGCAGCGTGAGGGAGCCAAAATAGGCAATGAGGACCTTGTCTTCTAAAAATCAGGGTTGTGTTCTGGTGATGGATCACTGAGGTGCGGCGTGGAGGCAAGTTGAATTATTCTAACCACCACTGGCTAAAATGGTTTTCAGTAGATTTAAACCTGTAGTTAACACCTGTGGTTTAGTAGTTAAAGTAAAGTAGTTAACACCTGTTGTTTTGATATTCAAAAATATAAATAAGTCCCCAGAAAACATACCCGAGGAAGCCCAGACGATGAGCTTACCAAAGATTTTTAAAACAAATGTCTTAAAAGATCCTCAAAGTGCTAAAGGAAGACATGGACAAAGGCAGGAAATTGATGTATAAACAAAATGAGTATCATTAAAGAAATGCCATCAAAGAAACAAATTATAAAAAAAATTCTGGAGCTCAAAGTACAACTTCCGAAATGGAAAATACACTACAAGTATACAAAGCACATTTGAGCAAGTAGAAGAGCGAAGCAGTGGAACAGAAGAAAGGACAACTGAAATTATTGAGCCTGAGAACAAGAAAAAAGAATGAGGAAAAGTAAACAGAGCCTAAGGGATCTGTGGGACATCATCAAGTGTCAATAAACACACTGTGGGAATCTGAGAAGGAGAAGAGACAGAGAGACGGGCGGAATGAACATCTGAAGAAATAATTGCTGAAAACTTCCTAAACTTTATGAAAGACATGAAAACTACACATTCAAGAAGCTTGACACCAAACTGGATAAATTCAGAGGCCCATACGGAGGCACATTATAATCAAACTGTCAAAAGACAAAAAGAGAGAGAGAGAGAATCCTGAAAACATCAAGAGAGAACTACTCTAACATAAAAGGAATTCTCAGTAAGATGATGAGCTGATGTCTCATCAGAAACCTTGGAGGCCAGAAGACAGTGGGTTGATAAAAGGGTGGAAAGAAAAAAAAAACAAAAAACCTGTCAACCAAGAATCCTGTATCTGGCACAACTACCCTTCGAAAATGAGGGAGAAATTAAGATTCCCAGATGAACAAAAGCTGAGGGAGCTAGTTACCAGTAGACCTGCTCTGCCAGAAATGCTAAAGGGAGTCCCTCAGGTTTGAAATGAAAGTAAGCTGGTCAGGGTAACCTGAAGTCATATGAAGACGATGTAAAGATCTCTGGTAAAGTAAATGCACGGGCAAGTATAAAAGCTACTATTATCGTAATTTTGGCTTGTAACTCCACTTTTTACTTTCTACCTTATTTAAAAGACAAATGTGTTTGAAAACTATTATTTTTTTATTATAGTTTTTTTTTATTATGTTATGTTAGTCACCATACATTACATCATTAGTTTTTGATGTAGTGTTCCATGATTCATTGTTTGTGCATAACACCCAGTGCTCCACGCAGAATGTGCCCTCTTTAATACCCATCACCAGGCTAACTCATCCCCCCACCCCCCTCCCCTCTAGAACCTCAGTTTGGTTTTCAGAGTCCATCGTCTCTCATGGTTCGTCTCCCCCTCCGATTCCCCCTCCTTCGTTCTTCCCCTATTTTTTTTTTTTTAACGTATAATGCATTATTTGTTTCAGAGGTACAGGTCTGTGATTCAACAGTCTTGCACAATTCACAGCGCTCACCACAGCACATACCCTCCCCAATGTCTGTCACCCAGCCACCCCATCCCTCCCACCCCCGACCACTCCAGCAACCCTGTTTGTTTCCTGAGATTAAGAATTCCTCATATCAGTGAGGTCATATGATACATGTCTTTCTCTGATTGTCTTATTTCACTCAGCATAACACCCTCCAGTTCCATCCACATCGTTGCAAATGGCAAGATCTCATTCCTTTTGATGGCTGCGTAATATTCCATTGTATATATATTATTAATCTGTTAACGGGCCGAGCACTGTATGAAGATGTAACCGGTGATGTGAATAACAGAAATGGGGGAGGACATAGCCATAAAGCAAAAATTTGGTATGCTATGAATCCCCTTAGAAACCACACAACAATAGCTATAAAATATGCACACGAGGAAATGAGAAGGAAATCAAAAACATTTCACTACAAAAAAATCAACTGAACACAAAAGACAGTAACGCAGGAAGTGAGGGACCAGAAAAAGCTATAAAGCACACAGAAAACAAACAGCCAAATGGCAGAGGTTCCTCCTTACTAATAATTACTTTAAATATAAACCATTTAAACTCTCTCATCAAAACACTGATAGCTGGAATTTTTTTTCAAAATCCAACTATACGCTGTCTTTAAGAGACTCATTTTACATCCAAAGATACAATTAGGCTGAAAGTGAACGGATGAAAAAAAGGTTATTCCATGTAAATAATAACCAAAAGAGAGCTGGAGTGGCTGTACCAATATCGGACAAAACAGGCTTAAATCAGAAAAGGACAAAAAGGGACCTTATGTGCAGGCATACCTCAGAGACATTGTAGGTTTGGTTTCAGACCGCCACAGTACAGCAAATATCTCAATAAAGCAAGCCAGAGGAATTTTCTGGTTTCCCAGGAGATACAGAAGTTATCTTTACCCTGTATTATAGTCTATTAGTGTGCAATAGCATTTTGTCTAACAAAACAACGTACGTATCTTAATTTAACAATATGGCTATAAAGTGTGAACCATCATCTGAACTTTCAGTGAGTTGTAATCACTGATCACAGATCACCATAACAAATTAATAATGGAAAAGTTTGAAATATTGTGAGAATTACCAGAATGTGACACAGAGACATGACGTGTGCAAACGCTGTTGGAAAAATGGCACTGATAGACTAGATCAATATGTGCTTGTCACAAAACCTTCAATTTGTAAAATACACCGTATCGGCAAAGCACAATACAGTGAAACACAATAAAATAAGGTAAGCCTGTGATAATAAAGAGGTATTCGTTATAGCAAAAAAAAATGTAGTTACTGTAAATGTTTATGTACCTAATAATAGACCCTCAAAATATATGAAGCAAAAGTCAACAGAATTGAAGGGAGACATAGACAGTTCTATAATAATATTGTGATATTTCCATATTCCATTTTCAAGAGTGGACAGAACAACCAATCAGAAGATCAATTACAAAATAGGTGACCTGAATACTATAAACCAACAGGACTGAACAGACACATACAGAACATCCCACCCAACAACAGCACGACACACATTCTTCTGAAGCACACATGGAACATTCTCTAGGATAGACCACATGTTAGGCCACGAGACAAATGCTAACAGGCTGAAAAAGACAGATATCATTCAAAGCGTCTTCTTCAACCACAGTGTGATGAAGCTAGAAATCAGTAACAGAAGGTAAACTGGAAACCCAGTGGAAATGAAACAACACACTCTTAAAGAACCACTGACTCAAAAGAAATAACAAAGGCAATTAGAGACTATTTAGACACAAATGAAAATGAATACATAACATACCCAAAGTTATGGGATGCAGTGAAAGCAGTGTTAAGAGGGAAATTTACACTATAAATGCCTACATTAAAAAAAAAAAAAGATCTCTAATCAATAATATAAATTTACAACAACTTTACAACTTACACCCGGGAACTGGAACAGAGTACAACTAACCCAAAAGCTAGCAGAGGAAGGAAATAAAGATTAGAGAGGAGATAAAATAGAAAGTAGAAATAAAGAAAATCATGAAACCAAAAGCTGGTTCTTCGAAAAGAGTGACAAAATTGAGAAACCATTAGCTAGACAAAGAAAGAAAGGATAGAGCGAGTCCCTATGCACAAATTATCTGACTCAAGAAGGAATGGAAAAATCTCAGCAGACATAGAACACGTAGACAGATTGAAGCAATAACCTAAAACCTCCCAACAAAGACATGTCAGGCAGCAAATGGCTTCACTGGGGAATTATTTTACCAAACTTCAAAGAAGAATTAACATCAACACTTCTCATACTCTTCCAAAAAACTGAAGAAGGAGAGAACACTTCTTAACTCAATTCTGAGAGGCCAGCATTACTCTGATACCAAGTCCGGATAAAGACATCACAAGAAAATTACAGACCAATATCCTTTATGAATACAGATGCTAAAATCCTCAACAAAATACTAGCAAATCAAATTCAACAGCATATTGAAAAGATTATTCACCATGAACAAGTGAGATTTATCCTAGGAATGCAGGGGTGGTCCAAATCAATCAGTATATCACATTAATAGAACAAAGGAAAAAATTACATCATCGTCTCAACTGATGCAAAAAAGAGATTTGACAAATTCCAACCACCCTTTAATGATAAAAACCCAGAAAACCAGGAATGGACGGGAAAGTCCACAACAGTGGTAAAGGATGTTTATGAAAAACCTACAGCTAATATATGTTCCCAATGGTGTAAGACAGGAGGTGTTGCCCTATGACCAAGAACCAGACAAGGATGCTTGCTTTCATGTAGGTATTCAACACCGTCCTAGGGTTGTAATCAGAGCACTTACACAAGAACAAGAAATAAAAGGACACCCATATCGGACAGGAAAAGGTACAACTTTTCACAGAGGTCAGGATCCCAAACATAGGAAATCCCGAGGAATCCAGAGAAAGCCACAGAGCCAATGTAAGTCAGCTTAGCAGAGTGCAGTTACCACAACAACACACACATACCAGCAATGGATAATCTGAAAAGGAAATGAGGAAAGCAAAATTTAGTTAGGAATAAATCGAACTAAAGAGGTCAAAGATTTGTATGCTAAACACTGCAGAACATTGCTGATAGAAATGAAAGAAAACCTAAATACATGGAAAGACATCTCACGTTCATGGACTGGAAGACTTAACACGGTTAAGTAGTCACTACTACCCAAAGTGATCTACAGAGTCAATGCTAGCCCCATCAAAATAATTGCATGTTTTGGAGGAAATAGGAAAAAAAATCCTAAAATCCATATGGAATCTCAAAGGTCCCCGCATAACCACAACAATATTGGGGGGAAAAAAAAAAAAAGGAACGCAGCTGGAAGAGTCACACTTCCTGATTTCAAAACTTACTACAAAGCTACAGCAAAGGGTGTGGGAATGGCATAAAGAGAGACACACAGACCAATGAAATAGGACGGACAGCCCAGAAATCAATGCTCGCATACGTGGCCAAATGACTGTTGACAGGGGTGCAAGACCATTCAAGCAGGAAAGAACAATCTTTTTCAACAACTGGTGGGTGCTGGGAAAACTGGATATACACATGCAAAAGAATGAAGTTGTGGGGCGCCTGGGTGGCTCAGTCGTTAAGCGTCTGCCTTCGGCTCAGGTCATGATCCCGGGGTCCTGGGATCGAGCCCCGCATCGGGCTCCCTGCTCAGCGGGAAGCCTGCTTCTCCCTCTCCCACTCCCCCTGCTTGTGTTCCCTCTCTCGCTGTGTCTCTCTCTGTCAAATAAATAGATAAAAATCTTAAAAAAAAAAAAAAGAATGAAGTTGAAACCTTACCTAATACTGTATACAAAAATTAAATCAAGTGGATCAAAGACCTAAATGTTGGGGGTTAAAATTACAGAACTTTTAGAATAAAACATTGAGGAAAATCTTCAAACATCAGATGTGGCAACAACCTCGTGGATATGACACCACAAGTACAGTCAACAAAAGAAAAATAAACTGGGCTTCATCAAAAATAAAAACTTTTCAGTGGCTCGGTTGGGCATCTGACTCTTGATTTGGGCTCAGGTCATGATCTCGGGGTCGTGAGATCGAGCCCCGAATCAAGCTCTGCACTCAGCATGGAGTCTGCTAGAGATTCTTTCTCTTGCTCCCCCTCTGCCCCTCCACCTGCTCGTGTGTGCGCGTGCTCTGTCTCTCAAATGAATAATAAAATCTTATGCGTGCTCTCTCGAATAATAAAATCTTTACTGAAAAAAAGGAAAACTTGGGGCGCCTGGGTGGCTCAGTCGCTTAAGCGTCTGCCTTCGGCTCAGGTCACGATCCCGGGGTCCTGGGATCGAGCCCCACGTCGGGCTCCCTGCTTAGTGAGGAGTCTGCTTCTCCTTCTCCCCCTGCTTGTGTTCTCTCTCTCTCTCTCTCAAATAAATAAATAAATAATCTACAAAAAAAAAAAGTAAAACTTTTCTGCATCAAAGGATACTGTCAACAAAGTGGAAAGACAATCTACTGAATGAGAAAAAATATTTGCAAACCACAGATCTGATAAAGGATTACTATCCAGAACATATACACAACTAAACTCAACGACAAAAACAAACAACCTGATTTAAAAAGACAGGAGAAGGACTTGAAAAGACAGACATTCCTCCAAAGAAGACATCTAAATGGTCAGTAAGCACATGAAGAGATGCTCAACGTCATTTGTAATTAAGAGAAATGCAACTCAAAACCACAATGAGATACCATTTTCTATCTCTTAGGATGGGTACAATTAAAAGACAAAGAAAAGAACAACTGTTGGCAAGAATGTGGAGAAAGTAAAACCTTTGTGTGGTGCTGGTGGGAATGTCAAATGGTAGAGCTGCTGTGGAAAACAGAAGACAATTCTTCAAAAGGTTATACATAAAACTACCCTATGACCCAGCCATTCCACTCCTAGGTCTATATTCAAAAAAACTGAGAGCAGGGACTCAGATAACGTGTACAACTATGTTCAGTGCAGCATTATTCACAATAGCCAAAAGGCAGAAACTCTAGTGTACGTCAACAGAGTAATGGATAAATCCAAATGTGGTATATAGGGGCCGCACTGATCTGAGGAATTCTTAATCTCAGGAAACAAACGGAGGGTTGCTGGAGTGGTGGGGGGTGGGAGGGATGGGGTGGCTGGGTGATAGACATTGGGGAGGGTATGTGCTGTGGTGAGCGCTGTGAATTGTGCAAGACTGTTGAATCACAGACCTGTACCTCTGAAACAAATAATGCAATATATGTTAAGAAAAAAAAAGAAGAAGATAGCAGGAGGGGAAGAATGAAGGGGGGTAAATCAGAGGGGGAGACGAATCATGACAGACGATGGACTCTGAGAAACAAACTGAGGGTTCTAGAGGGGAGGGGGGTGGGGGGATGGGTTAGCCCGGTGATGGGTATTAAAGAGGGCACTTCTGCATGGAGCACTGGGTGTTATGCACAAACAATGAATCATGGAACACTGCATCCAAAACTAATGATGTGATGTATGGTGATTAACATAACAATAAAAAATCCAAAGGGAAAAAATGTGGTATATATGTATGCTGCAATAATACTCCGCCATAAAATGGAATGAAATTTTGATACACGCTACAATCTGGATGAACCCTGAAGACATAATGCGTAGTGAAATAGCCAGACATAGAGAGACAAATATATTGTCCACTTATATAAGGTATCCAGAAGAGGCAAATACACAGACAGTAGAATAGATGTTTCCAGGCACCGGGGAGAGGGGAGGAAGACTGAATGATTGTTAACAGGTACAGAATTTTTGTTGGGGATGGTAAGTACAGAAAGTGGTGATAGTTGTATACATTCTGAATGTGTTTAATGCCACTGAGTTGTACACCAATAAATGGTTAAATTCATTAATACTATGATACGTATATTTTATTTATATGTGTATCTTTATATGCATGTAAGTACTATGTTATGTATATTTTTCCACAATTAAAATTTTAGAAGTCACAGCCAACCTCCCCCTATCTCCCACCATAGAGAGATGAATAGGTGTCAGCCAGGTGAAGGGGGAGCGGAAGCACTCACGGAGGGAACTGCCCAAACTCAGTGGCAGAGTCGGGATCTGAACCGTGCAACGGTCCTCCCTCCTCAGGCAAGGAGACCTGCCATCTCCTCAGACGCCTGAAGATGACAGCCTGCCCCTCTGGCCCACGGAAAACACACCCCTGGGCTCACCTGGGTGGCCAGAGAAGCAGTAAGTTCTTCGGTGAGCTCTTCCAGGGCCTCCCGGTTTCGGCCGCAGAGCACCAGCTTAGCACCCGCGGTGTAGAAGACTCTGGCGCATTCTAAGGGAGGGAGAAAGAACCTTGACAGCCGAGGAAATTCAATGCCTTTCTTCCCCAGTGCAGGTCAGTCCAAACTCACTCCGTGTGTCAGAACATGAACTTGTTTCTTCATGCACTGCACACGTGTGTATTCGCCCCTGCTGTGGACGAGGCGTGGAGCTAGGAGGTAAGGCCCCAGGGATGAATGAGCCCCGCTGCTGCCCTAGGAGAGCTCACATCGATGGTATGGCAGACACCAAGGCAAGGGGAAGGCCGGGACCGGTGGACAGATTTGTTGGGTACCGTGCTCAGAACTTCCCATTACGATCTTTAGCTCTGAACACCCCTGGGGGCATCACCCCCTTTCTCACAGCTGAGGAAGCTCAGAAAGGTCAAGCGATGTGCTCCACGATCAGGCAGCACCAGCCATCGTGAGGCCGTGGTCTGCCGAGGCCCGTGTTCTGGCACAATCTAGGCTGTTTCCCAAGTCACTTGAACGCAGCAGGTACAGACCTACAGGGCGTGCTTACATGGTTTTACAAGCACAGGGGGCACAGGACTCTGTTGAGAAAGGATGCGGGGCCTGAGGGGCTGTTTCTCTGGAAAGTGCGCAAGGCTAAGGGAGCAGAGTTTGCAAAGCAGCCGGGGGGGCCATGGACAGATACATCTGGGACACAGAGTGGAGAGTCTGCCAGGCTTGCGCCAGGCTGGGAAATGACAAACAAATGTGAACAGCTGAGGCGTGTGGAGTGTTGACAGCAGTGAAGGCCCAGTACGGGAGGATGCAGTTTAAAAGGCTCCCTCCCACTGGGTGAGAAGGAAGGGGACTGGTGGAGATCAGGCTCTGCTGAACGCACTCCAACATTCCAGGTGACATCAACTGAGACCGGGGTACCTCCTATTAGTCAGTGTTGTTTTGGTGGCAAGAAAAGAGACCCAACTCCCACTGGGACAAAGCAAAACGAGATTTATCAGGAGGATGCTGGGGTCGCTCCAGAATTAAGGGAAAAGAGCTGAGTGGCCAAGACTCGGGAGGGACAGGAGTGGTGGCCGCCCAGGGCCACTGGCAGCAGGACCCAGGCTCTCTCAGGGCTGGCAGGGTCTTTTTTCCACTTCGTCTCCCTGGACGGGCTTCCTTCCAAGATGAGAACGCGGCTGCAGGCAGCTCTGAGTCACGATCAACACAGCTCTCCTGCCAGACAGGAGAGGGGTCTCTGACTCAGGCAAGCTCTGCTGCCGAAATCCCAGGAAGGGTGGGCCGGCATCTCGAGGACGAGGCCAGCAAGGGTCACAGGCAAATCCCTCGGAGGGGAGACCTCCAGAACCGGGGCTGACCTGTGGGGAAGACGGAGGGTGAGGGCCTCTTGCTTCTTGCTTGCCCTGAGCCCAGACACGGCCTGACTGAATGCTCGGTGCCCTCAAAACATACAGCTTGTGAAAAGCAGTGCAGTCCAGTGCTCAAGGGACTGGACTCGAACTCGACCTCCAGTGCCGGCCTCGGTCACTTCCTGGTTCTGTGATCTGGGGTAAGTTATAACCTCTGTGTGTCTCACTTCTCTCTTCTATAGAATATGCAGGTAAAAACCAGCACTGGGACTGAATGACTAGAAGTCGATACAATACAGTAGAGAAAAAGCACTACAGAAAAAAGCACCACAGAAGTGTTCATTGTTTTCATATTTCTAAGCTGCCTTTTTTAAAACGTTCAAACAACTGACTATTGGCGAAAACTGAAACCCGAGGGTTTAAAGAGGCACTGCCTGTCCACGCCTTTGGGCTGGTCTCCCACAAACACCCACGGGCAGGTCCGTGCGGACCCCTCCGCCCCCAACTGACCAGGCAGCCAGAGCACCCCCACCTTGTCCCGCGCCGAATCTCAGAGGCTCAGAGTCGGGTGGTGTCTCGTATCCCGACTCAGAGAAAGGACAGGCCTGCCCTGGGAGCCGTGCAGCCAGTGGTTGAGGGATCAAGCCTGTCACTTCCCGGCTGGGAGCAGAGCTACGGTGTAGGGTCCAGGCAGGGTGTACTGGTCTGATAGCCCTTCCCCCACAAAAGTGCCAAAAGCTAGAAGGGTTCAAAACAGGAGGGGAGAACAAACTCCAGCATCCTTCAGGACACCAGAAAGTTCTCTGACGTCTGGATTGTCTCATGGTGCAAAGCCTTGTCTCTTCACTCTACGGCTCCTGCTTTAGTTCCTCTTACAGCTTTCACATACCATCCCCAGACCAGCACCTCTTGGCGTGTGTCCAGGTGGAATTTTCGGGAAGGAAGTGCTTAAGTGGACTAAATCAAGACATTTTCAGGTGTGGTGTATCACCTTCCTTCCAGATTTGGCTGGTTTGTTCTCTGGCTCATCCTGACAGAGGGCACAAACCCAGACAGAGCTGCAGCCGCTGCTCTGCTCGTCCCTGGATGGTCCGGTCGGGGTCTCAGCCCCTGCACAGCCCGCCTCGCTGTGCTTCCTCCGCAGGGCAGCCAACGCCTCGCAGGGATGGGGGTGGCGGCTGCACTCAAAGCCAGACGCCAGCATTCCTGAGGCTAGAGCTGCTCTTGTGGTTTACTAACTCATTCCCAAAGAGAGGAATCTCAGGCATGGTTGGCTTCCTCACCCCATTTCATCCTGACGTGACTGACACAACGGACATTTTGTGAGGTGTCACCAAACAGGGCAGACACGCAGAACCAAAGGTGGGGAGGGGCACACTAGTGCCTAAACAACTTCTGGAAAACGGTCACGTACATTCTGCTTAAGCTTTGCTTCCTAGCACAGCCAAACAGGGAGGAAATTAAAGTCCGTGTAGGGAGTGACAGAAATGAAAACAACAGATTGCAAGGATTCCATTTTCATTTCTTGAAAAAGCTGACACAGGGAGGCAGGAGGGTCAAGGGAAAAAGAACAGTCCCAAAGTACCACTTATCCAGCTAGGGCTGCCAGATGATTCTCCAGCACTGCCGGCACTCCTGGCCTGTTCAGTCAAGAGAGTTATTCACGACCTCAGGGCTTAAGCTGGCTAAAGTGGTTATCCAGAACATTCTGTTCCTCTAGTCAATGGTCTTACTGTTTTATAAGGATAAGCTCGTGTAGCTTAAATATACAAAATAGGAGACCAAACAGGACAAATACACAAAGCTGTCTGAAGATTTATCACATAATCCAGGCTTTCAGACCGGCTGACAGGGCAGGCAGAGCAGAGCCACCAAGGGCAACTCACACTCTTCCTCCTCCGAAAGCTGAGGAGCAGCAGCGCCTCCTTGGTGGCCACCCACAGGGGCGTTTGTCCTTGCGACGGGTGGTGAAGAATCTGTTCCTGTTCTATCTGGCCGGAGGGGAAAGAGATCCATGGACTCTTGCCTTTCAGATGTGAAACGGGGCAGCATACAAGCAGCGTGACTTGGAATCTGGGAAATGGCTGACCTAATATATGATAGAAATATATACATATATACACACACACAAACAGGTTTTGATTTTCTTTCAATTATATTGTCTATTCCCTTCACAGTCTTGGTTTCCGGAAGAAGAGCTATGGAATGACCAAGAGGACAGTGTCTTTCTCCAATATTCACATACTGGAGCACCTGAAAGTCACTATCCCAGCCAGCTCTCAAATACTCTTCAAGGACTTTAAAAAAAAAAAAAAATTGCTTCTCTCTGAGATCAAGAGAAGTGGCTGCTGACTACCCTATATATAGTAGCTAAGGTCAGAGCACTGACAGTGGCAAAGGGCCTGGAGGCAGCTGTCCCCACTCAGGTCTGGGTATCTAATGACAGGTCCAGGGTTCACCCGCAGAGACCTCACCTAAAACATCAGAGTGGCGTACAAATGAATCCATGCTTTCCCAGGCTCCCCCCGGCCAACTGCAAGCCACTTCCTCTGCAGACAAGGCCCCGTCTGCTCCTTTATGTTCCTCCAACACCCAAGTGCTTCCCAGCCCTGCATGACCACGCTGCTCCCTGTTCTGGGTTTGTCTGCAATGCCCTCCTTGCTGGCCCCACGCTTTCCTGTCCCTGGCCATCTCCCCCGCAGGGGAGACAAGACAGAGTCCTGCAGTCAGACCTGCGGTTTGAATCTACAAGTCCTAGGGCAAATCTCTGCTTTGCCCTAGCAATCCTCTTAGCTGTGAGGATTCGGTGAGCTCAGGAGGCAGCACATCCCCCTCCCGGGCCTGGATGGGAACAGCCGTTACGCAAGTGTCAATATCCTGAGATAAGTCCTGGCCGCTCTCCATCGGACTGTGAACTCCCTGAGGGAAGGGACCCTGTCTTTCCTTGGTCTGTCCCAGCACTTGGCCCAGAGCCTCCCAAACGGGAGATGCTCCATCAGCACTGGCTGTGCTACTCCCAAGCAAGAGACACAGCAGGGATGGGTTTACCGCAGTCCTGGGTGCCTCTCTGCCTTCTTCCGTGGCGCCGAGCGCCGGCGTGGACAACGCGCTGCTATGCTTGGTACGTGTGCAGATGCTGAGGAGGAGGAAGCGACACGCGACGTGCCTGTGTTTGCCCAAGTCCGTGTACATGTGTGAAAGCGAAATGACAGCAGCTCTACAAACTCATCTGCGAGGCCGGGAGTGGTGACTGACTCTGGGCCTGTGTCCCAGCATACAACGCCTGGCACCCAGAGGCTCACCGTGTGCACCAAACCAGATGGAACTCACTGGAAGCACCGAGTCTCTAAAGTACCACGTGTTCTGTTCCCGACCCTGCCCAGGCCACGCTCAGGGCACAGCTGGAGGCACAGCCCCAGGGAGAGGAAGGGGAGGGGAAGGGTTACACCAAGGCCATGAACCAGGGATGCTCGCTGAAGCCAGGAAAAAGCACGCTTTGTTTGGCCCTCATAGACGTAAAAATGTTTTTTAAGTTAGTTGCCGTATTTGACAATTGGGAGCCTTCGCATAAAAACCCCAATTTCCACCACTAGCCGGAGTGGAGTCAGGCGGCCCCCTGAGATGAGACACGGAGTCTCCGGTTTGCCATAGTCCTCACGGCCTTTGCCTCCCAGCACCGATGCTGATCAAAGTCAGGGGCCATTTCTCACCGCACTTAAGCTCTCGCCTTTTCCACGTGGACCAGGGACAGCGACGTGCTCTTGTTCCCAAGTCACCTAGCCCGCTTCACTTATTTGCACCCGTGCCGCGGAGGAGCTGCTCCCCTTGCCTCGGGCAGGTTCCCGGCCCCCCCCCCGCCCTCCCCCGCAGCACTGCCCCCGGGACCCACCTCGCCCCAGGCCTGAGGTAGCACCGGTGATGACCACCACAGCGTTCCGCAGGTAGGCGCTCGTGCGCATCCGCTGCAGCAGCTTGAAGAGGCTGAAGACTCCCACACAGCCAAACAGCAGGGGCAGGACGGCCGTGGAGGTAATAAAGTCCATGACCCTCACCTTCAGCAGACTCTTCCTGAAGGAACCCAAATCAAATGAAGTTGTGACAAAACAGGAAAACTCAAGGCACTTGCCAGCCCTCCTCCCGCTAGACTGATACAGAGCCCAGATCTCTCTCGGGCGGATTTTAGCTCTGAGCCCAGCAACTATCTTCCTAAGGCCCTGGGCTCCATGCCGACCGCTCAGCACGGTGGACTTGCTTTCTCTCACTCGGACTGACGTGAGCAGACAGCAAAGCCACAGGCCTTGTGATGTTTCTCAGAGGCGCACAGCGACCCCGGGACAAGCTGAAAGAGTCATTCGGCGCGGGACCCAGTTACCCATGAGTGTGACAGGAGGCTCTGTCAATATCCACACTCACCTGATTCTCCTTCCAAAACCTATTTAGGGGGACTTAGGTACACCCATTATCATTCTCAACCCCTATTTGTGAAACTAGAAAACATTTTTTAAAAAGGAAAAAGAACACCATACCAATCCTTCTACTCCTCGCTAACCACATGGATGTTTCTGGGTGGGGTGTTCCCTGGATGCTGTCTTCGATAGCCCACAAATGTCCTCCTGGCCACAGGCCTCACAGACACTCAGAGGGAATTCAGAGCAGAGGGGAGCTGCCTTTTGCCACAGACTCAGACTGGGAAGCGGGACGCCCTGCCACGCGCTCTGGCGTGTTTTCACTCAGCATTCGCCAGGGAGCTATGGGCAGCCACATGAAATCAGGAGGCTACGGGAGCTTCTCTGCAACACTGGCAGTCAATTCTTAGGATCCGTTCCTTCCACAACTGCCCGAATTTCCTTACTCCTCCAAGCTTCCCTGATTCCGTGTCACTCACCCGTGCCCCCATGCCCAAAGCAGGCTAAGGGAGGAGGGAGACACATGATTAAAGGAAGCTCAGGGATGGGCCAGTGAGGAGCAGCGCCATGTCTGTCACTTTGAAAGAAATGCCCTGTAAGGCTATTTGACAAGTGGGCTGAGTCTACTACACAAAAGGCCCACCACCCATAATCCTCCTCCAGAACTAAGATATTATGAGCATAGTAATCCTGTTCAGAAAGGCAGAGGCTGGAAACCAAGAGCAGAGCTCCTGCAAGCCAGCCTAAAGCTTTCAATTCTTCATCAGATTGGGAGTAACTATGTAAAACCCTCACTCACCTGCTGAATGTCCCATGTTCTCAACTCCATATATTTAAAAAAAATATTTCTGATTCCGTTCCCAAGGCAACATCAACTCTGCGGGCACCACGAAGCCAGGACCCCACTGAAGCCCAACACAGATCCACTGACATGCTGAGCTGCTTTGATCCTGCACCTCAGGATCAGGGAGAGCTGTCCTGATCTAGGTTACACTGCTTGACTGCAAAAGGGTTCTGCTCAGATTTGAACTGCCAACTCAACTAGTTTAGTATTTAGTTTATTTTTTCATCTGCCTTTCTAAATATATCCAATTTCTTGGTCACCATAAAATATTAACATTCTTTTTTTTTTTTTAAAGATTTTATTTATTTATTTGAGAGACAGAGAGAATGAGAGAGAAAGCACATGAGATGGGGGGAGGGTCAGAGGGAGAAGCAGACTCCCTGCTGAGCAGGGAGCCCGATGCGGGACTCGATCCAGGGACTCCAGGATCATGACCTGAGCCGAAGGCAGTCGCTTAACCAACTGAGCCACCCAGGCGCCCAAATATTAACATTCTTAAACATCTGCAAAAATGACTGTTTCCCATCAACTTCCCTTAATCTACTTCCGAAAAGTCCCCAACGACTGTCTGCTAAGTGGTTACATTTCCCTCTCACCCTCCATGGTGCCAAGCCTACGCTCGGATGAGCTGGCAATTAAAGTGGCTTCTAAAGTGCCAAGCTCTTTACCCGGGTACTACTGGCACCACACCCTGCCCACAACTGGAAGCTGAGGCCAGGTGTTCTAGCCTACAGTCGAGGCCCCTGAGTCCCAGGGGAAATGCTAGAGCCCAAGGACCCTTTGGCACCTGGAAGGACTGAGATTGGTGTAGAGCAGGGACCGGTACTTCTGCAGTTCTGTGGGTCTGCAGGTACTGCCTGGGGGCCTTCATAGGGCCCAGCCCCTGAAGACCGCAGAGCGTAAGAGTATTTCCTAGGGGTGGGAGGGGTGAATTCTGGGGGGGGAGCAGGAATAATTGCCAGTTTGTTAGTGTAGCTTTACCAGAAAATTACAGCAAGTGACAGAAAACACAGATGGGCCCCAAGGTAATCATAGCTCAGAACTTTCATGTAATGAACTTGGGGGTAGGGAGCTTTCAACGGAGCAGGATGGCTGTCTAGGAAGAGCTTTATCCCACTGCAATCCCTCATCCTTCTACCAGGCAGGTCCCAAGGTGGACCACCCTCCTTCGCTCAGAATTACATGGGACCTGGCCAGTGCCCGGGATGACCAGGGAGTTGAAGAAGGGACTCACGAAGGGACAACAGGCCTCAACCCCTGGATGGAGGCGCAGAGCTCCATTAAGTCAGCTGGGTGGAAACAGCTCTGCACAGTCCTCCATAGGCTCCCGGAGACCAGAGCCTTGTGGAGCCTGCCCGTTTCAGACCTTCAGAACTCCACTGAAGGCTACAGGGGTGTCATATACCAATATGCAGCCCACTGCCCCCCAAAATTCAGAGGTTGCAGAGACCACGTGGAAAACACTAGCTGCGGCAAAGTGACAGCACTTCAGGGGTAACAAGGATGACCCCTCGAGCCAGCCTGGCTGGGTTCACATCAGGGCTCAGCCACTTCCTTATCAGCCTGGGTAAGGGACCTCCCCACTCTGGGCCTCAATCTCCCCATCTGTAAAATGAGGGTATATGAGTCTCCACCTCACAGATCTGTTATGAGGTCAGCTGAATTAATGCATGGAAACGTGTGCGCAATCCCTAGAGAAGTGTAAGTGCTCAGTAAATGCAGTTGCCGTTGGCATCATCATGACCCAGAACTAACTAAATTAAGCTCCTGGGCCAGGAATTAGTTTCACAGCAGTCAGATTTCCAAGGTTGTCTGAAAGAGTCCCCGGTTGATGAAAACTGGTTTCTTCCAAATGAATGAAATTCATTAAAAATAGAGCTTGCTGGAGTTAAACTTTTATACTTTCATAAACCCTTTGGTTTAATGACATTAACAAATAGGAAAAAAGGAACCCTGACTTTGTCAGAGGTCAGGATCCCATATGCCAAGGTGTGTATCAGAAAATGTAGCCACCGTAACAGTCATCGAGGTCAACACAGCAAGGAGAGAGCAGACAAGTGCCCAAATGTCCCTGCTCCCCTTTTTTCACACCCAGAGAGGAGCAGGATGAAAACAAACCCACCTAGCAAGGTTCCCCCCCCATGAAGACAACGACAGCTGCCAACAAACTGCATTTTCATGCACCGTTTTACAACCCAAGCCAGCAGTCTAGGACACGAAGAAAAGAGAGAGAACTACACACCGTCTTGTACACTTCTGGGATTCCTTGCGCACCTGACACAACATCGCTGGCCAGCCTTGGTGTCCTGGCCCTGGGGACCACTTTGCCTGAGGCAAATATGGCACCAGGTTAATGGGATCCATCCTCGGCCCACGGGCCGGCTTTCTGTAGGGAGAGCGCACATCTGCATTCAGTCTGGCAAGTCATTAACAGAATCAGAATGCAAAGTAAATTAGAAATCAGCACCAATTGTGCCCAGCTAACTCAGGATGATGATGGTGGGAAAAGACATTCCAGAGCAAGCCATTTATTTGAGAGCATTACGGTATCCAGGGTAGGTATTCAGGCCACTTTCCTGACCAGGTGAAGCTGATCATATTGACAATCCCAACTTTCTGGGAGTTTCTCAAAATTCTGAAAGACCGTCCCCTTTTGACTGCACTCTGCAGTGCACGGGGCCGTACTGCCGGGCCCCTGGGCTGCTAGGCCTCTCCGGCCTCTGAGTGCTGGCTGGGCTGGGTCAACTCCTCTGTGTCTCACCGTCAGCAGTGAGGGGGGCCGAGACAGCAAGACACAGAGGTAACTCAGCCCCAGCGCTTTGCTGTGGTGTCTGGGCGCATGCTCCAAGCAAAGAGAAGCTTCCAAGTAGAAGAAAGGAATTGTGTCCTGACTGGCCACATTTCCAGAGTAGGAAATACATCTCCTATGTAAAACAAGGTCAGAGGGGGTCGGTTTTCTTTGAAAATGGCATAGACGAAGAACTTCAGTATGTTTACAAATTTTGCATTTTATACCGAAATGCTTAACTGCTAGTTTCAGACAGAACCGGGAAGGCAAGATTGACGGTATAAAAAGGGAGTGGGGGGAAAAAATCTAGCTCATGATTTCTAGCATTTGGAGATCAGCTCATACATAGAGGGGAGAGCCCAGCATCACTGTGAGCTACAGCAGAAAGTAGGACAAGTCACAAAGAGAGTGAGGTCAGAAAAGGAGGCGAGATAGCCCCCCTCAAGTAGAAACCACAGATCACACAAGGTCTAGAAGTGCGAGTACACCGCCTAACAGAAAAGTAGGCACCCACAGTCCTGTCTACTCTCTTAATTGACAGGGAAGTGACCTGAAGCATGACCTTATGCTAATAAGCCACATCAACTGGTGTGAAGAAGTTAGAGAGTTCAGGCGTTCACACACTAAGTTCGTCTGCTTGTATTTTCATATACCACAGACTACGGAGCTCTAGATCTAAGTTAAAAGAGGATCAAGGGTAGAAAAGTCCCTTCATGGGTGTTACTTGGGCCTGGACAGCCAGAAAGTTCATGGGGTCTCACTGCAACTCTGAAATTCAGCTATTCCCTTATTCCACTGAGAGGTTCTTTAAAAAAGGGCTTTTAGAACCTCAAACTGGAAACAAGACTATCTTCAAGAAATCAACTCTGAGCAGAAATGTCACTTTACTGTTATTTCATTCCTCATCCTTTAGCCAAAATTCTGATGGAATCTGTTCCTAAGATTCCTTTTTTCCCCTCAACCAACTATAAAAAAATAAAGTAAATGGAACCATCCGTAAAAACAGGTTGTGGGGAAGCTACTCAGAACCACACACAGAAATTAAACCATTAACAGCCAAACTCGAAAATCAACAGAGGGTAGCCGAAAGCCCTCTGCAGTTAAAGAATAAAAATGATTTCAGGTCTGAAAGAAGGATCAGGCATGAAATAATTTGTCATGTTATGCACAAGAGAATCAGGCTAAAGGGCAGAGAGGAATTCCAACTGGAAGGCAGGTTGCTGAAATCATGCAGCAAGGAGTGGCTTAGTATCCCCAAAAGCAGTTAGGATCCCATTCTCACAAACCTACACCGCTCTTGTATTTCGAAAGTGACGACCAGCACTTAACAGCTGGTCTGTTAAAGGTGACAAAAGCTTTAGGTCATGCTTATGACCCATATCTGAAAAGACCTATCTATTTTCAGAAAGGAAAAGCAGAGTAAACCTGCTCTCTTTGGGTTTTAAGTGTATGAGAAGCAGCAGCTAAGGGCCGTCTGTGACTGGAAAGAATAAATAATATCCTACCTCAGATAACAGCTACTTTGCCAGTGGTGGGTCCCGGTGCCAACGTCTTCTCTGGTCTCTTGACCTGGGGCAGAGTGACTACGGCCAGAGGCCACCTCCAGGTCAGCAAGCCCTCCCTGGAGCGCCGGAACAAGCCAGCGAGGAGCGGCCTGGATGGTGTATTTTGGGATGCCAGCCTTAGGGCCCCCGGTTTAAAGGAATGCAGGCTGGCATTAGTAAAGATAAAACCAAAAGGAAGGCCCGAGACTGTTTCAGACCAGGCTCCTGAGCGTACACTCCTGGGAAGAGCAACCACGCTGAAGCAAGCCTGCTCTCCAGGGAGACGCTGAGCACATGCTACACAGCAGCCCCAGCCAGGGCGGGCGGGAAGAGAGGGGCCAGCACAGCTCCAGACCCTGCAGGGCAGGCACCTACACAGGAGCGGGGCACCAGAGCCGAATCGTTTACAACGGGCCAAAGTCCTAGCTCCGCTTCTAAAGACAGCACTTACGATGTCTACCTAGCACCCTGCCACAGAAGAACGATTTTGGTGTCTAACAGGCTTTATAAAATGAATTAAGTATTACTGGAGGTTGCAGGAGTGGTATCACCCTCTTTCCTAGAAAACACACAAGAGGCCCTGACTAAACCAGACAGTACACTCACTGTGGGGGTGAGGCAGAAGAAACACCAACGTGGCACTCGGGGGGCTGGGTTCGAGTCCACCATGTCGTGTACTTGCTGTACGACATGCGCAAATTTACTCATGACCTGCAACTATGCGGACGATTATTGCAATGAGAAGACACATAGGAAACACCTTGTACATTTTAACATCCTGAACAAACATGCTCCTGACTCCTAAACTCACGGAGTAAAGGTGGCCCCCAGAAAGGAGCTGGGAAAGGAACTAAACATGGCAGCCAGGCGGGCCTCGTTAAGGGCCAGTCGCGTTTCAGTACATTTGGTAAAAAGACCAAACGTATGACTTTATAGCCACACCTCATATATCAAATGCCATCCAGTACCAGACTCGGCTAAGACTGGGATGTAAGGCGATGAATGAAGTAGACATGGTTTCTGACCTTGTGGAGCTCACAGCCTAGATGGGGAGACTGATAATAAACAAAGAAACACAAAAATTAAATGATTAGAATTGTGATAACGAAAGAAACAATCATTGTAAAACCACACAGTGGTGGCCTGTATAAAGGATAAGCCTCGCGTGAAGCTTTAATTCAAAGTCAAAACAATTCAAACCACTATGTTGGCCACAAGACACACAACCTGGCCCAGGGCAGCTACTAGTTTCTGACTCCTGAGTTTTACATTATTACCATAAAAAATTACATATAATAATGAATATGACAGATAAGGTACCCAGCTAAATATAAAGTCAGGAATCTGGTGTGTGTATAATTTTTTTAAGATTTATTTATTTTATATTGAGAGAGAGAGAGAGAGAGAGGGAAACCATGAGCAGGAGGGACAGAGGAAGAGGGAGAGAGAAAATCCCAAGCAGACTCCACACTGAGCATGGAGCCCAAAGTGGGGCTCGATCTCACAACCTGAGTTGATACCAAGAGTTGGACACTTAACCAACTGTGCCACCAGGTGCTCCAAGAATCCAGTGTGTTGAAAAGTAGCTGGCAGGACCCAAACCAGAGTATGTAATAGGAACTGTGCATAGGTATCAGCTTCAGAAACAAGAAGAAAACACAGTAAACACTGTACTCAAACTTGGGCACAATTACTCACTATACCTGCTATAGTATAAATTTACTACACAAACATTTACTGAGCACCTACTGTGTGTCAATTGTTCCAGGTTTTGTGGTACAATGAGCAAATGGTAAGCAAACTGTTGTCCTCATGGAGATGACATATCAATGGGAGAGACAAACAATAAAAAAGATAAGCAAATAAAATGCATATCAAAAGGATTCTAAGACAATGGAGGAATGGGAGGCACCACGAATCCATCTCCCTACCTACTCAATAATTGCACTCACAGAATCTGTCCTGTATAACCGTATATTTTAGAGCTCTGGAGTCTACTGAAGGCTTGCAAGTTCCCTGAGAAGGCCTAGTTGGCAAGTTGTGGTTAATTTCAGTCAATTTCAGCTGCAAACACAGTAGTAGCTACACAACCTCCACCCCAGGGGCATACATGTGGCCACCATGCTGCAGCAACTTGCTGGAATGAGGCAAAAAAGACCCTGTCCTCTAAATATCAGGGATGTGTGTCTGACTGCTCATTGCTGCTTCTGATCAGAGAGGTGCAGACAGAGGTGGGCAGCCAGTGTGGCTGCACCCCCTCCATTGTAGCAAGCCTCTCCACCTCCGGATGAGGTGGCTGCCAGGGTAATTACAGGGCTGGCAGCATTTTATCCTCCCTTCATTTCCCTCTTTTTCTCCTTTTAGGAGCCAGTAATTAAAGAGTAGTACATTCAAAAGCAATTGAATACATGGGAAAGATTAGAAAGTGACCATGAATGTCCAGGAAAAGGCACATGCTCAGAAAAGACCTGAGAAGACCTTAATTAAGTTCATAGATCAGACTGCTCCTAGGCACAAAGACAGCCTACAAAAATAAATATGCCAATTAGTTAGTTAACAAAAAACAGCAAACACTAGGGAATGGAGAAAATCTGATTCCAGAGTTACCATATTATTAGATTAAAATGTCCAGTTTTCAAGAAAAAAGTCAGAAGGCATACAAACAAATAGGAAACCATGGCCCATTCAAAGAAACTGTCCCTGTGAAAGAACTACAGATTTGCCTGACAAGATATTAAAACAACTGTCTAAAGCTGCTCAGAAAACTAAAGACAGACCTAGAGAAAATCAAGCAAATAATGTATAAAAAGAATGGAAATACCAAGAATGAGACAGAAAACCTAAAAAGAAAGCAAAAGGAAACACTGGAGTTGAAAAGAATACCAGAAATGAAAAATTCACTATGGCGATTCAAAGGCAGATTTAAGCATGCAGATGACAGAATCAGCGAACCTGAAGACAGGGCAATGGAAAGTACTGAATCTAAGAAATGAGGGA